CAGAGGGGCTTCTCTTAATCTGTTCATCAGACAGTGTTAACATTTTGTTAAGAAAAAAAGTTGTCTGTCCCTTACCTTGTGTATGCCTTCTTGAATATCATCATGGAATGAAGAGGACGTTGCATTGTTTACGATCCTGCTCAGAGAAAAGTAAGCCCATCTTGGGAATAGGTTGTCCTTCAGCTTTCTGTTATAGCAATTGGCACTCTATTTAGCCCATTGCTCCCCAGCCAAATCTGTTCACTCTTTAGGGCAAGGCCTGGGTTTTATTCACTTTTGTATCTCCAGCCCCTAGCAAAGATGGAATAATAAAGTGTTTATTGAATTAAATTACACATCTAATCTTCTGTGTTTTTAGTTGGACCGTAGTAGATAGGATGAGAGAAATATAACTGAAGAAATCATAAAAGGGGTGAGAAAGTCTGCATATTACGAGTATGATTTCTTAAGCCTGGTGAAACTGCAAGAAGAAAACACTATCTGCCCCTAGGAGACACTGGATTTCTGTGCCAGGCTAGTCTGTGGATGCACGACCCCAGCCAAAGATGGGGCTGGCGCTGCTGAACCAAGGGGCAGTTCAACAGGGCCTGGTTGAGGCAGCACTGAGCTGATGCTGGGTGCACACCTAGCCCCATGGCCCTAGCACAGACCTCCGTCTGCTGGCCAGTGCCAGGAGGAAGGTTCAGCAACCCAGCCAGATCATGAAAGGTCTTATTGCAGTGAATGCTGGGGAGATGGTCATAAAGAACCACTGAAAGATTTCAAGCAGAGCAGTGACAAAGGAAAGCCATTCTGGAGACAAAGAGAAGGGCAGGCTGGGAAGGTGAAGTTCCTGGGAGTTTACTGGCATCAGGGAGACCAATCTAGGCTATATTACCAAAAAAACACATTGTAAGCCAAAACCTGGAATAGTAAAATTAGTCTCTACTGGAACTTGCAAAGGTATACTTTTATAGAAACTACTCCCTTTCCATCTTAGAGGAGGAAGTTTGGCAATTTGTTAACCCAACCAATAGGAAGCCTGGATGGATATTGGGGGAATTTTTTTTCTTATTTTATTTTTTTAAGATCCTATTTATTTATTTGAGAGAGAGAGAGAGAGAGAGCACGCACGAGTGGGGGGAGGGGCAGAGCGAGAGGGAGAAGCAGACTCCACACTGAGCAGGGTACCTGATGGGGGGCTTGATTCCAGGACCCTGGAATCATGACCTGAGCTGAAGGCATCCGCTTAACGAACTGAGCCACCCAGGCGCCCCTTTTCCTAGTTTTTGAAGCTGGTAGAGGCCAGGATAATATGGTTTTCCCAAACAGGACCAGAAACTGGTGCTCGTAAGTGGGGAATACACCTGAAATCTGCTCCTTTCTGAATTTTGCACTGGATCCAGGAGTGTAGGTGAGGCTGGGGGAACTGGGGGTTGGTGGTTATGGACTAGAGCAGGGCACTGCCAAGTTTTTCTGTAAAGGGTCAGATAAAGTTTAGACTTTAAGGGCCATATGGTTTCTGTTGCAATTGCTAAATTCTACCAATGACAGCGCAAATGTGGCCACACAATGTGCAAGTGGGCATAGCTATGTTACAAGAGAACTTTACGGATACTGAAATTTTAATTTCACGTGTAGGTTTCACGTGTCATGGATTAATCTTTTGATTTTTCCCCCCGACCATTTAAAATATAAAACCCGCTCAAAAGTGCATAAAGAAATGAAGGCTGCACTTGCCCACAGGCTACAGCCTGAAGACCCTTTATTTAGAGTCAGGGCCCTGCCACTCAATAGCCTTAGATGCTTGGAAACCTCAATGGGCCTCAGGTTCCGCGTCAATTTCTTAAAATTGTGGTGCGGTTAATAAAACCTGACGCGCTTTAAAGTGCTTTGGGGGGCGCCTGGGTGGCTCACCTTACGCGTCTGCCTTCGGCTCAGGTCATGATCCCAGAGTCCTGGGATGGAGCCCCGAGTCGGCTCTCTGCTCAGCGGGAAGCCTGCTTCTCCCTCTCTCTCTCTCCCACTCCCCCTGCTTGTGTTCCCGCTCTCGCTATCTCTCTCTGTCAAATAAATAAATA